TTACATAAACAACTTTTACAGTTTGGTCATGTATCATCAGTATGTGACACAAATCATTAGTGTACAAAACATGACGGAAGCTAAGTACTCCAAAGAGCAAAAAAATAAGAGTACCAGAAATGGAATCATGTAATTACCAATTTAAACCTGTAAAAAGTTTCATATATAGAAATGCTTAAATAGGTTAGCCGTTCTTTTGACCCTGCAATATAAATACAAAAAAGAATAAATTACTTGGATGCAAACTTCAAGAGGAAGAGGGACAAGGCAGAAAGTCAGAAAAAAAATCACGTTGAGAGAAAACCCCAGAAAAGAGCGAAATCCAAATATGGTCCCATTTGATTTCTCTTTCGTCTGTGTTATGAGAATGACATATAGAAGAAAAAAAGTGCCATATGCACTTTGCCTTTGCTAGGACACGTTTCGATAGAGGGTGAGTCCACTGCGCCAAAATTCCCAACCCCTACTTCCCCAAAAACCCACTAAAATAATGCTGCACAAATCTAAAATAAAAATATATTTAATACAATACGAGAGAAAGGTCTCACTCTTCTTGAGCCGAGGTTTTATTGGAAAGAATCTCTTTACTCTCTGAATAGGAGTAAGGTATGCGTACACGCTACCCTTCTCAGAGTCCACTTGTGAAAATTCACTATGTTATTGTTATTATTGTTGTACGAGAGAAGGTCTCAATTTGATCATGTTTTATGCTGATTTTCGTATCTATAAATTTGTAAGTGTGACATTGTGATGGTTGAAAGTGTTAAAAATTACAGTAGATGAGGTGGATCAAAAGTTATATTGAAAAAAGTTTTCTCAAATGAAAAGTATACAATATCTCAGAATTTAACAAATTTAGCAAAAAATGTAACACAACAACAACAACCCAGTATAATCCCACTTAGTGGGGTCTAGGGAGGGTAGTGTGTACGCAGACCTTACCCCTACCCTAGGGTAGAGAGACTGTGTCCAAATAGACCCCGGCATCCTTCCCTCCAAGAACTTCCCACCTTGCTCTTGGGAAGACTCGAACTCACAACCTCTCGGTTGGAAGTGAGAGTTGCTTACCATCAAAGCTTATAGTCCAAGAACTCAAAAAATGTAACACAATGAACTAAAAGCTTCATATAGTTGATGTCAATTACTCAATTAGTTAAGATTGAGGTTAGTCGTGTTCGTTCGCTTGTGTACTAATCTAGATTCATGCCAAAATATTAGGAAACTAAAAGTGCTTATTTAAAAAAAAGAACTACTCCACTTATTCTACGGAATTAAGGTGTTTGATCAAACTTATAAAATAAGTAATTGTGAGCTATGACAAAGTTTGTTTGGCTAATCTTGCATAATCTAATTATTATAAAAAAACGTTTTCTCAAAATACTGTTTCAGGAAAAAAACTTTCAAAGATTAAAAGATTATATTTGACTAAGAGGGTGTTTGTCTAAGTTTATAAGCTGGTCAAATTAACTTATAAACACCTTTTGACTTATCTACGTATTTAGTAAATACCTAAAGTGTTTATAAGTCAAGTGCTTATAAGCTAAAATCCGCCATAAGTCATAAGTCAATCACCCCCAACTTGTGAATTTTTAACTTATAAGCACTTTTAGTTTGACCAAGGTTTTTACTAGTTTATCCTTAATAATATTTTCTAATTCATAAAATATTTTTCCCCAAATTTTTTTTCTAACTTTCTTTTCATTTCATTTTCGTTGTTTATCATTCTTTTTTTTTTTAACAAAGAAACTTTTTATTTTATAATCTTTTGTAAATTTTTAAGTATATTTTAGTCATTTTAATAAAAGAACAAATTTTCAGCATTTTTCTACCAAACACATCAACTGCTTATTATCAGTTTCAGCACATCTATTCAAACACATAAATGCTTATTTAAAAAATTAGTTTCAACACTTCAAGCTTGTCAGCTAATCCAAAGGGGCTCTAAATCACTTGAATTGCACTTTTGTTAAAAAAGTAGTAGTTGTATGCCCCAAACTAGTCATATTAGTGTGATTATATTGAATAGGTGGGGCATGAGAACAAAGTCTTACATTGTTAGTTGAAAAAATTGGAAGTTTACATAAGGTGTAGGGATCTCTTAATGGTGTGAGACCTTCTAGAGAAAATCGTGCGGACTTGGCCCAAAGCGATCAATATCACAAATTGTTAAGAGAATTTGCGGGCTGGTTTAGCACAATGATGTTCGGTTATAATTCCATATTTTAGTACATTATTTACCTTACATTTTAAGTGCTTTAATGCCAAATTATACTATATTTGTGCTTAATTGAGTTTATTTTATGTGTAGGTACGTTGAAGACGAAATTGAAAGTAAAGTAAAAAATTTATGTGTATTTTATGTACCCTGGCGCATAATTATGTCCATGCAATTGGAGACAAAAGAAAACAAATAAAAATTAAAAGAAGCAAAAGAAGGCCAAAAAAACTTGAAAAAAAGAAGAGAAAACATGAAAAGGGAAAAGTTAGGCAAGGAAAAAGAACGAAGCAGCAAAGAGCTGGCGACGCGAGGGAGTTTTCTCGCGTTAGAGCTCGCGACGCCAGGGTTAACACAAGGCGATGCGTGTTCCGGGTTTCAGGCCTATTTTATTTCTATTTGGTTTTGGACTTGTTTATTTCGTCTAGGTCTTTTTTCTACATATATAAATAGTTATTAAATCTTATTTTTAGGGAGACCGAGTTTGGACAGAATAGACCGGGGATTCGACCTAAGAAGGCAAGAACACACTAGGAGCAAGGGAGAGAATTTAACACATCTACGAGTTTTTCACTTCCTTCTTCCTATTTTTATCATTGGTTTTGAATTCTAGTATTATAGTTATGCATACTATTATGAATAACTAATTTGTTATCTAGGGTTGTATGGGTCCAAATTTGATCAACCACGACCTACGGTGAACACGACAAACGACCGAACCCCTACGAGTCGACAGAGGGATACGACCCCATGGTAGAAGGAGAGACATTACGATATTGGCAGTAGGATCGGCGTATCAAAGGACTTAGGGAATATTCCTTAGATATTTCTTAAATTGTCGTTCCTATGAGTGGGAGAAACTCTTCAGTATATAAGAGGAGTGAAAGCCTTGTAAAGGGGGGCACACTTTGTAAACACTGACTAAACTTTGAACGAAAAGAATATTGACTACTCTCTTCTCTCTCTATTGCTATCATCCTAGAGTTTATTATTTTCAGCTACGATTTACCCCTTCATTTTTGATTGATTTGTTCAAAAGAATTTAGCATCTTTTGAGTCAAACAATTTGGCGCCGTCTGTGAGGATTTCCATAGCTGAACTCATAGTTCTCATCTAGGTTCTTGAAAACAACGATTACTGTCCTTCAAACCTCATAAAATATCAACAATGGCGGATAAGGAAGCGAAGCTGAAGGCAATAGCAGATGTCTCGAACAATCTCCTAAACTCCCTCAACAAAGCCGATGGAGAAGACACTAAGAATACAACACCAAGAGTTACACCGGAGGGGGAGGTCTCACCTCCTCCGCACGGGGATCTAACAATCTTGCGTGAAAGGGGAGCCTCAACATCCATGGCAGGGGAAGCGCCATCAACAGTCAAAAAGCTGCTAGAGGAATGGTTGACAAGTGCTCTGAGCAACATGCTCGAAAATCCCCCTCAAGGAAATACCGAAGACTTACCACCTGCAGAGATCGCAACTACCATCAGCGAACCGAACACTACACGAACAAGCAACGCCCACACTGTCACCAATGTAGGTGGCGATGCGCTCATAGCCATCTTGAAGAAAATGGAAGAGATGGAAAACAAGAACAAGGTACTCCGTAATCAAATGAGGGAGCATCAGGAAAGAGCTGATAAAATACCAGGTACCCCTAAGCTACTACCAAAATGCGATGTGGGCCGGTTCGTCGAACAACCATACAACGACGGGGCATCTCCTTATCCTATCCCAAAAACCTTCAAAATGCCATCATACTTGAAAATATACGACGGGACCACGGACCCGGAAGATCACCTAATCCATTATGTTACTGCGGTAAAAGGCAATGATCTGTCAAAGGAACAGGTACCGTCCGTGTTGCAAAAAAAGTTCGGCAAAATTTTGACAGGAGGAGCATTGACATGGCACTCTCAGCTACCGGCACAATCAATATCAACGTTTGAAGAGATGGCGGCTAAATTCGCCACCGCTCATGCAGGGGTGAAGAAGGCTGAAGCCAGAGTCAACGATATCTTCGCCGTCAGGCAAATGAAGAGCGAGGGACTTCGAGACTTCTTGGCCTGGTTCAACTGAGTAAGGATGAGCCTTCTAAATGTGTCAGAAGGAAGGGCAGTGGTAGCCTTTCAGAATGGGTTAAATAGGAACGGATCAAAGGAAACCAAAAAATTGCTCAGCAGACTCATGAAATACCCCCCACCGCATGGGAAGAGATCCATAATGCCTATTGCGCCGAGGTAAGAGCATATGAGGACGATCTGAATGGCCCGATTCAGCGACTAACATCAGTTCAGACCGAAGCAAGGAGAGACCGATGTAACGAGGGACGAAGAGATCAACTCCCACATTTCAATCGAGAAAGGCATCAGCGCTACGTCCAAGCATCTAACCCACCCCCTCCGAGACATCCGAATGCCGTGCTACGACACACCGCATCCTTCCAAAACGAAAGAGGTATGCCTCCCCTGTTATCTGCTCATAACTTTTGTGTTTCTCCTTTAAAGATAGTATACGCATCGGAAAGGCTGGGCACGAAGGTACAGTGGCCGCAAAAATGAAATCGGACCCAAACACCAGGAGGTCAAACGTCTTTTGTGAATTCCATCAAGAAAGAGGACACAAGACCGAAGATTGCATAGGGCTGCGGCAGAAAGTAGTCAGGATGTTGAACCAGGGGTACCTGAAAAAACTGCTTAGCGATAAAGGAAGGGCCAACTTCTCCAGGGGACGCTATCCATCTTAGAGACCTCCAAAGCCACCATCGCCAGCATATACCATACAGATGATCATCGGCGGTGGCGACGACACAGTAATCAACCACGTGAAATTCACTACCATGCATAAACTCAAACAGATGATCGCTCGCGAACGGTATAATGACCTCGAAGATAGTATCATCTTCGATAAGTCAGATGCCGACGGTTTGTCTTCCCCTCACTATGATGCTTTGGTTATAACTCTACGCATCGCAGATACAGATGTAAAAAGAATCATGGTAGACAATGGAAGTGGAGCGTGTATTATTCACCCGAGGGTTCTCATGCAATAAGGCTCGAGGATAGAATAGTACCGCGTTGCATAACACTAACAAGTTTTAACAATGCAGTGGAGTGGACATCTGGAGAAATAGTGCTGCCTGTCCTAGCAGGGGGAGTCACGCTTGAAGGGGGAGTCACGCTTGAAGCCACATTCCATTTCATGAACCAGGAAACAGCCTATAACGCTATCATAAGACGCCAGTGGATACACGCCATACGAGTCGTTCCCTCAAGCTTCTATCAAGTGATCAAATTTCTCACCCTGTGGGGAATATTCATCATCCGAGGCGAGCCATGCATCACTCAAGAATGCTATCGGATCTCCCAAGATTGCATGCACACCAAACAACTGAAAAGTGCAAGTGCGGAGGCATAGCAATCAGCCATGTCGGGAAATAAACCCGACCCACCGATAGAGGCCATCAAAGACCCCGACATCATAGAATCCTGCAAGGAAACTATAGAGGATCTTGACCCAATCCAATTGGATGACGCCAACAACACCAAAAAGGCTTATATAGGGTACAACCTCTCGGAGCCTGGTATGTACCGTGAATTTTTAACTAACAACACTAATTTGTTTGCCTTCTCCCATTCAGATATGCCAAGAATCCCAAAGGACATCGCCACTCACAGACTGAATGTCGACCCACTCTATCCGCCGGTACGACAAATGAGGAGGAAGTTCAATGCTGCAATCAATGAGGCAGTCAACGAAGAGGTGGATAAACTACTCTCTAACGGTTCTATCAGGGAATCAAAGTACCCCCAATGGGTCGCCAACATAGTCATGGTCAAAAAGAAGAACGAGAAATGGCGAATGTGTGTAGACTTCACCGATCTAAACAAAGCATGCCTGAAGGATTCCTTCTCGTTGCCCCATATCGACCAACTGATCGATGCGACACCAGGGCATGAATTGCTGAGCTTCTTAGATGCCTACTCCAGTTACAATCAAATTCTGATGGCAGAAGAAGATCAAGAAAAGACGACTTTCATCACTCACCAAGGAACGTATTGCTATAAGGTGATGCCGTTCGGACTCAAGAATGCGGGGGCTATGTATTAGAGGCTAGTTACCAAGATGTTCAAAGAACAGCCCGGCAAGACCATGGAAGTCTATATCGACGATATGTTGGTAAAGTCAACAAAGAAAGAGGATCACATTGGCCATCTAAAAGAGGCCTTCAATATATTAAGACAGTACGAGATGAAGCTGAATCCCGAGAAGTGTGCCTTCGGCGTAACCTTGGGAAAATTCCTCGGCTTCCTCATATCACAATAGGGAATTGAAGTCAACCCGGACCAAATCAAATCCATCGACACAATACCAGAGGTACTGACCAGCAAGAAACAGGTACAGAAGCTAACAAGGCGAATAACTGCCTTGTCGAGGTTCATTTCATGATCCTCAGACAGATGCCACAAGTTCTTCAATGTATTGACAAAAGACCACGGGTTGCAATGGAATGAGGAATGCATTGATGACTGAGGAAGCTAAAAGCGTATCTGTCCTCACCGCCACTACTCGTCAAAGCGGACCCGGGTGAGTGTCTGCTAGTGTACTTGGCAGTGTCTGAAGTCGCACTAGTGCAGTCTTGGTCCGCCAAAATAAAGGAACACAATCTCCTATTTACTATATCAGCAAAACCTTAATAGACGCCGAGACAAGGTACCCTCACCTTGAAAAGCTAGCTCTAGCACTGGTCGTGGCTTTACACAAGCTTAGACCATATTTTCAATGTCACCCCATAAAATTAGTAACAACCTTCCCCTAAGAGGTAACCTACATAAACCCGAGCTCTCAGGCAGATTCGCCAAATGGGCCATAGAATTAAGCGAGCATGACATAACATATCAACCGCGAACTGCCATTAAGTCGCAGGTGCTCGCCGACTTCGTCGCTGACTTCAACACAAAAATATTGCCCGAGGCGGAACAAGAAGCACTTCGCGCTTCCACGCATACCAACCTCTGGATCCTCTACACCGATGGCGCCTAGAATGCCTCGAGATCGAGACTGGGACTCATCCTCGAAGTCCCTCTAGGCGAAGTAATTCGCCAGTCCATACGATGCCCCAAGATGACTAACAACGAGGTCGAGTATAAGGCTATGATTGCAGGTTTGAAGTTAGCCCTCAAATACGGTGCCCAACGACTCATCCTCCACTGCGACTCTCAACTTGTTGTAAATCAAGTCACCGGGACTTTCCAAATCAAAGAACAGCGACTACAAAGGTATCAATCAGAAATCCACAAATTTCTGCCGGAGTTCGACAAATGCCGCCTCGATGAGATTCCTAGAGCACAGAACATTGAAGCGGATGGCCTCGCCAAATTAACTGCGGCCACCAAGAATATTAGCAAAGGAAACGTGGTCACCCTTCTTCACTCATCCATAGACCACGTCAAGGTACTTTATATGAACCTAACTTGGGATTGGCATAACCGCTTTGTAGCCTATTTACAGGATGGAATGCTCCCGCAAGACAAAAAAGAAGCCAGAAAACTCCGGGTGCAGGCAGCCCGATACAGCCTAGTAAATCATGACCTCTACAAGAGAACATTCAGTGGCCCCCTAACCAAATGTCTTGGACCACACCAAACAAGGCAAGTACTGGAAGAAGTATACGAAGGTTATTGCGGCGCCCATACGGGAAATTGCGCCCTTGTTCGTTACCTCATTCGCCCCGGTTAGTACTGGCCTACCATGAAAAAAGAAGCCGCGGATTATGTCCGAAGATGCGAGCGATGCCAAAAGTACGCCCCTATGATACATCAAGCATGAGAATTTCTCCATTACGTCACTTCTCCATAGCCTTTCATAAAATAGGGGATGGACATAGTCGGCCCTCTACCAGCTGGACGAGGAAAGGTACGTTTTCTTTGGTTTTAACTAACTATTTCTCTAATGGGTGGAAGCAGGTGCATATGCTCAGATACGTGAACAGAAGGTCATCGCCTTAATATGGAAAAATATTATATGTCGTTTCGGCATCCCTAAGGAAATCAGATGCGACAACGAACCCCAGTTCATCGGAAAAAGGACAACTGAGTTCTTCGAAAAATGGCACATCAAACGGATACTCTCTACGCTGTATCACCCTGCCGCCAACGGTCAAGCCGAGTCCTCCAACAAAGTGATACTGAACATATTAAAAAAGAAGCTTGAGGAAGCTAAGAGGCTATGGCCTAAACTACTACCTGAGGTATTATGCGTATACCGCACTACGCTGAAATCCAGCACGGGAGAAACGCCATACTCACTGGTCTACGGGACCGATGCAGGCATACCCGTTGAAGTCGGAGAACCCAGCCTGAGATACTCCAATGTGAGCGGGGCAGATAACGACGAAAGTAGGCTACAACACTTAGATGAAACCGAAGAACGAAGAAACATGGCCCACGTAAGAATGGTAGCCCAGAAGCAGCAAGTAGAAAGGTACTACAACAAGAAATCCAAGGCACGATCACTCAAAGTTGGCGACTACGACCTCAAGGCCAAAACACAGGCATCAAAAGATACAAATGAAGGAAAATTTGGAACAAACTGGGACGGACCGTATAAAATCGTAGCAGTAGCAAACAAATGGGCATTCCAACTAGAAACGATAGAGGGGAAACTACTCCAAAACAACTGGAATGTCGCGCACCTCAAGTACTTTCACTTCTGAGAGGCGCCACCCAAGTCGTACTCTTTTTCCCTCACCCAGGTTTTGTCCCAATCGGGTTTTCCATGGGAGGTTTTTAACGAGGCGGCAAAGGGGACGCCCTGTGGATCAGTATGCTATTCATCACCTCAGCCCATCGATACGATCTCCGGGTCGAAGTAATGAAGGAACTACACAAAATCTAATCTCCATTGTATGAACGAAATCTAATCGCCATTGTATGAACGAAATCTAATCTCCATTGCATGAATAGAATTCAATCTCCATTGTACGAGCGAAATCTAATCTCCATTGCATGTAAGAAACTCAAATCTCCAAAAAACGAGTTTGACCTCGTTCGAACCACGACGGATACTACTTCGACGACAGTCGAAGCAACATCCTAATGGACAAGGCCATCGACAACATTAGTTCGACCTCGTTCGAACCATGACGGGATACTTCGACGATAGTCAAAGAAACATCCTAATGGCCAAGTCCATCAACAAAACATTAGTTCGACCTCATTCAAACCACGACAGATACTACTTCGACGATAGTCGAAGCAACATCCTAATGGACAAACCGATCGAATACATTAGTCGACCTCGTTCGAACCACGATAGATACTACTTTGATGACAGTCGAAGAAACATCCTAATGGCCAAGGCCATCGACAAAACATTAGTTCGGCCTCGTTCGAACCACGACGGATACTACTTCGACGACAGTCGAAGCAACATCCTAATGGCCAAGGCCATCGAAAACATTAGTTCGACCTCATTCGAACCACGACAGATACTACTTCAACGATAGTCGAAGCAACATCCTAATGGCCAAGGCCATCGACAACATTAATTCGACCTCGTTTGAACCATGACGGGATACTTCGACGACAGTCGAAGCAACATCCTAATGGCTAAGGCCATCGACAAAACATTAGTTCGACCTCATTCGAACCACGACGGATACTACTTCGACGACAGTCGAAGCAACATCCTAATGGACAAGGCCATCGAAAACATTAGTTCGACCTCGTTCGAACCACAATGGATACTACTTCGATGACAGTCGAAGCAACATCCTAATGTCCAAGGCCATCGACAACATTAGTTTGACCTCGTTCAAACCATGATGGGATACTTTGACGATAGTCGAAGCAACATCCTAATGGCCAAGGCCATCGACAAAACATTAGTTTGACCTCGTTCGAACCATGACAGGATACTTTGACGATAGTCGAAGCAACATCCTAATGGCCAAGGCCATCGACAAAACATTAGTTTGACCTCGTTCGAACCATGACAGGATACTTTGACGATAGTCGAAGCAACATCCTAATGGCCAAGGCCATCGACAAAATATTAGTCGACCTCGTTCGAACCATGACAGATACTACTTCGATGACAGTCGAAGCAACATCCCAATGGCCAAGGCCATCAATGAAAATATTTCGACTATGGTCGAACCATGATGGGATTCTACCTCAACGATAAGCGAAGCCATGTCCCAATAGCCACGGGCGTGAATGCCATACAAAAAACAAGAGAGAACAACAAATAAACAGATGAAAGTAACGTTTATATTACAACAAAATATCATTTGCATTTGCCGCCACGAACAGGCCCTAGTACGGCCCGTGCCAAAAATTCTTAAGCAAAAAGTGAAGTGCAAACTAAAACTACACATCGTGCCCAGCGGGGTAATCATATTCATATCACGAATC